CTTCATGTGCATGAAAACTCCATGCTGAATTGTAGCCGCATGTGGTTGGGAGTGACCCCCTGCGTTCATGGCCTAGAGCGGTACACACACACACACACGCACACACGGACACGTATACATACGTCAACAAAACACAGCTGCTTGCGTTCCCACCTAGTCGAGAAGCTCTTGCAGCCACCTTGCTGTCCAGGCTAAAGTGCTGAAAGTACCAAGAATGCCCGAGCAAAGAATTTGTGGCACGCGCCTCTTCGTAGCCCGCGAAAAGCTGCCCGCAAGCAGCATCTATCCCATGGCCAAAAGAGTTGCGGTAAGAGCAGGAAACCCGCTTCTGCCTTGGTCAAATTTTCTCGGAGAATTTGGAGCCCAATATGCAATTATTGCATTTTGCAGTCGGGCTTCTGCAGCACTCGCTGAAACTGCTCAACTCCTGCAAGAAGCGTAAAGGCATCCGTATGTAAAGGCGCTTTTTGGCGGAATTTCTGACAACAATGTGCCTTCCGGACCAGCTCGACTGTACTGTTCCGGGACTGCCCTGCCTCAAAATGCAACATGTTTGCAGATTTGCTGGCAACGCAAGTCTTCGTGAAATCTGTGCCCCTTGCCAACGTTGTAGGGTAGCAGGTTCACGTGGTACAAATACCTGCAAGACTTCAAGTGTGACGGCAACACACGCAGAGCAGCGGCGGCGGCGGCGGCAGNNCGGCAGCAGCAGCAGCAGCACAAATGCTTCATTGGCAGTTTTCTGAAGGACTCTGGAGGCGATAGGTACGAATACGCTGAATGCTGGCGTACGCCACCTATGTCAAAAGATTCAAAAGGCTCTCAAGTCTGGAGCCATGCTGGTACCAGGTAGGTCTGCAATTCGCAAGAGAGTTCTTGAATGCAAGTGATTCTGGAATCTAGAATGTAGACATCAGCCTCCGCAATTGCAGATGCTTTGACAAACTGCTGACATTGGCAATGCCCATCTGCTCGGTCTCCCTCACTCGCCAAAATGTGCTTGAACGCCTTGAGGGCGCACCGCGTTTCGGAAGGCCGGTCTCGAACCATCTGGGCCAAAGCCCGAGCATGGTCTGCTGAGTCGTTAATCCCCTGAAAAAAAGCAGCTTGAGCTTCTTGCTAACCTGCTAACAGCTTCCAAAGCCTGCAGCAGCAAGTAGCAGATCCAAATGCGGCGCCCAGTGCTACGAATCCGCTGGTCCAGGACATTGAACACCTGTAACATGATTTAGCATGGCAGTTCTCCCATGCTATGCCTGGACAAGTTGCACCTCCTCCATTGGAAACATTCTGTTCAGCGGCCTCAAGAAGTCTGCAAACGAAGCGGCTGAGAAGGGCCAGTCCGCTAATGTTTTCGATATACGCAAAGGAAAAGGTCTTTTGCAGAAAATGCAACAGTAACAGTTTAAGAGGCTCATCTTCATTCCGTCAAGGTGCACTAGCTTGTTCCTTTCCTCCGTGAAGGGCGAATGCAAGGAAAATGCGAGGTTCACCTGCGGGAATTCCTGCGTTGTATCGCTTTCTTTCTCCAGCATGACCGTCTTCAGGTCTCATGTCACGACTTGGGCTGGCTCAAGCAACAGGAAATAGCTATACAATCCTATGAGGGAGGATGTAAAAGTATCTTGCCACACTCCAGGGCATAACGCCAGGGAGTCCTCTGTGAGCTTGACGATGCCGGGAAGTACACCAACGGTCGAGACGTTCAGCCTGCTAGCCCAGGCATTACAAATCCACGTCCCCAGGTTCTGGCGCGGCTCCTTCGCGCTGACATTCCGTAGAGCTCCGAGGCTGTCAGAATGCGAAGTGCATCGAAGAGCTTGGGGTTACCCAGCGGTTCACCTCAGCCGCTACGGATATGCTCCTGTAGAGACGTTACATCGTTCTGGGATGATCCTACCGTGAAGAAGCAGCTGGCTGATGGCTCAAGATGTGCTCAGGTTGACACCCATGCCCATGAAGGAAATGCCATCCACCTTCAAGACATGCAGTGGATCTGTTACAGCACAGTTTGCACAGCACAGGCCTTGTGCCCACGCTGCAAGAAGTGCAGCACCTGTCTGCGCAACATGTGTGATACACATCGCAGTCTGGGCCCTGGCAGCGCCTGGTCAGTGATCTCGTCTGCGTCGAGCTGCCTTTTGAAGCCTACCTTTCCAGTGGCACAGAAGGCGCACTGGAAACTGCAGCCAACCTTGACGCGAAAAAGCGGAAAACGATCATCTAGCATCGCCGAGTGCAAAGGAAAGAGTATCGTTCATGATTGAGGCTTCTCATCATGCAGCAGTCAGCGTGCAGAGCCTGCGAGGAGATGCAGAGCGACCGGTGAGAATGAAATTTCAGAGAAACTGCTTCAACCTCAAAAGGAAAATACGCAATCAGGTCATACGCTCCCCTTCTAAACATCAATCACGAATAGCTTGGCATCAAGCCCGCGCTTCATCCGAACGCGACTTCAGCAGAATCTTCTCGGCAGAGTCTCCTTCTGACACTGCCTGGCAGTGAAGATAATGACTTCGTGACGCAGAATTCGATGCTGCTGCGTTGTGGGGACGCGGCCTCGGGCTTGAAAGCCGTGGTGTACTTGCCAAACTGGTCCTTTTCTCCCGTTCATATGATTGTCAAGTCTGCTTGGCTTGTAGCGGCACCTTCAACCTCCATCTCAATGTCTGTGGCAAGCCGTCGATGGCATGCCATTTTATTTTGTATGCCTCGAAAAATGCCAGGAACAATCAACCCAAGAGGAAGGGCGATGCGTTTACTACCTTGTAGACTCCGTGAAGGACTTGCTGCAGGCGCCATGGCGGCTCTTGGTGATGGTCCAAAAACCTTTGCTTGGTAAAGGCCCGGAAAGGTTAGTTACAGGCAAAGCAGGCCAGGCAGGTGCGCACTTAGGGCCAAACTGCGCGAGCGCCCGGCACCTGCAACGGACTGTCGCGGGAGACTTCATGGTCGACAGGGTGCATAGGGCGCATGGTTGCTCATCGTGTGCCCTCCCTCCCGATCGCCTCGGGCTGATGCTGCTCATATGGAGCCATTTGTCAGGGCATGCGTAAGCTAAGAGCCCTCCCCAAGAAGAGTCTGGAGGGGAAGTGGAGAAAGGTCAGAGCAGAGCTGGCTCCAGGCTGGAAATCTATCGTCATGCCCATGCCGTGGTGGTTTGAGACCACCTCCTCCCAAAGCATCCCTAGTGACCTAGTGTGTCGATGCATTTTGCGAATGGAAGAGCTGCAGCCGAAAGTGTAAGTATACGGGTGTGCGGCCTGCCTGCCGTAATGTCATCACGGACTTGGACCGGAAATTAGCATTCTCTTCCGTCAGCAGGTTAGGGACCAACGACAGATCTAATCAAGCCAAGTCCTCCAATCGACGGCATGCCCAAGGTAAATGCCACCTGCTGATCGTGTCGAAATTCCGCTCGTTTGCGCACAAAGTTCGCTTCTCATGCAGTATGAAGTTGACATCTTGCAAAGAGGCAGAACCTGCCAGATTGGCAGCACAACTTAGCTGCACGCAAACGGGCTCGCTCAGTCCACATCCTGGCCGCCAGGTGGTCTTGCCTGCGGCATGAAGCACCAAAGCACGTTAGCGGCGAGTGGCATCACAAATGTTGACCAGCCTGCGTCTGCGTCTCCGCCGCATGATCTGCAGACCTCCAACTTGCGCAGATCTGGTTGAAAGCTTGCATTTTGGCTTTCTTTCACTGAGAAGCCGACGCTGGTAACCCCGACCCCTGGCAGCGCTATAGTTGCCACATGATACAGCAACATGGACCTGCTTGCTCAGGCAGCTCCACGCTCCTACGCTCCAGGACTCTACTCGTATGTTGCCACTACAGCTGGTAGGCCGCTCTGCTGGGCGTGGCATGCCTTTTTGGGGAAACAACTGCTGGCAAGCAATCTTAACATTCGGCGATGCATGGCAAGCCGTGGTACGAGATGACCATGCCTCCTGTATCGACCCTCCTGCGAATAGAACTATTTCGAGAAATCATTCCTGCCCCTGCCTAAGTCACCTCTCCACCTCAGCAAAACAGCGCCAACACTCCGTGCAGCGCAAGACCTCTTTCAGAATTGTCTGCTGGACACGGAGTTGATCCATTGATCGGATCTATGCGATGGTCTGAATTTTTCAGAGCTGCACCCAAGGATAGTACATGCGCATGACCTGGCATCACGGACTTCAATCCACGCCAAGGCATGCATCAGTAGAAGTTAAAATTTTGGGCCCATGATCGCTGCAGCCATCGAGCAAGGCTCATAATCACTAGTGGTCCGCAGCCAGGAGCCCTGGGTAACAAGGACCCGGCTGAGCTGTACCATTTTGCGAAACGGAGTCCTGCTACCCGCACGTGTGCGCACATCAGCTGCCATACCCTCTTGAAGATTTGTACTCTGGAACTTCTGGGTGATACCTCAGATACAGTGCTGCCCTCAAGGATAAGGATGTGGCTAAAACAAGCTACGCTACGCCTACCCCAGAGGCGATGCTAGCTTCTGAATACCATCTCGGTGGCTTTCGCAGCTCCATGTTGAAGTAGCGTCCTGGGGCCAAGCAGACACACTGCAACTTCGAGCTGGCTCTTCGATGGGCTGAGTAAAGACGAACTAATCAGCTTGGGCAAAAGCAGCTGTGTTTGCTCGCAGTCAGATGCGGCCGAGTTGCTCAAGAGGTCTTCGTCCAGGTCTGGCTCCTTCTCAAACGGAAGCCTAACCAGGAAGGATGATGCCGATCCTCTACGTTGCGCAAGGCCACAGGAAAGGATGGTCCATTGCGAGTGAGCTCTAGGCCTACCTTCTCCACTGGACGCTCTATGACAGCTGACATCATGAGTTTGAGGCATGGTCTTGTGCTGAGCTGGAGACACGACCACATCAGGCGACGTAGTTTCCAGTGTCTTGTCGCGAATGTCTGCCAGCAGTGGGTGTGCCAAGGCCTGCGGTGAACATTCATGCAATTCACAACTTGGCACCCTTGTAGGAGACAGGCCTCTTGCACTGAGATTCGGGTCTTGGGGTTGAAGATTAGCCTGAAAAGATGCATGTGCATGTCGACGCTGTACTTAGCTCTGGAGCAATTCGAGCACCCAGCATCTTCTCCAGAATATCGAGCATTCCCGCATCAATCTCCTTCAATGAAGCCACCCGACACTCACTCTACATGACTCTACACTACCATGCACTGAGAAGAGCTGGCACTTCAAATAAGCATGCCGCAACAAGACAACGACAGGCCAAGCATCCTTAAAGACTTTTCGTAGACCGTCTCCAACCTGCTTTGGGAAACAGGCGATGTAGCCTCGGCACAAGCTTACAATGCGTCTGTACGCTTCGTTGCAGCAGCTCAAGGCTAAGCTTTCGCGAAGTCACGTTTGGCATCCTCGCGCTCGATGCAAGCGTCAATGTCCTAACGGTCCACACATTCGCAGCCGCAGTCTTGACTGCTAGTAGCAACGCCTTCTGCTCAGGAGTCCCAAGGAGACCAAAAATCTTCTTGAGCATATCGTGTTTGCCATTCGTGTAGTATTTGTAATCCTCAGCTTGAAGAAAGCAAGAAGAAGGAAAAGAGATACCTCTGCAAATGAGGTAGCTAGGTGTAGCAATACTGTGATTACGCTCTCCTGAGAAAAGCATGCCGACGACACCTGCTAGCAATTGCACCTACAGGGGCATGGAAGGCTACGCCTGCACAAAAAGCAGAAACAGGACAGCAAGATGCTGCTACGCATGCAGACTGCACCATGCAGCCATGGTGCCGACTTGTGTTTGTGATCCGGAGACAGCGGAAAGCAGGATCTGAAGCATGCACACATAGCGCAGTCAGAGTCAGTTGCATAACCAAGCTCCGCGCGTCCCTGGAAAAAGAGGTCCGCGGTCCATGTAACTTTTACCAGCTTGGGGCAGCATTCCAAGGAGCTCGGCGTATATACAACCTGACATGCATGACGAGTTCAGTACACACCGATCTTTCTCAAGGCGCAAGGTGAGACGCTGAGCCTGAGCGGGACAAGTAGACGCATTGGGCGCGCTTGACTGGTGCTTGGCGCCTGACCCACAGACCAAACGTCAATGGCCTCTGTGTAGTTGTCCTGACTCGGTAGCTATGTTCGTCTGATCCATTCTGACAGCGCTTACGCACGAGTTTCGTTTTGCCGGGACAATTGCTACGAAAATGATGCAAATAAGAAAACAGAAGATTGAAGATGTGCCTGGTTCCGGGATGTTCTGGCGACCTACCAACTGTCCCCCCTACTGTCCTGAAGCAAAATCAACTCAGGAGCTCGATACCATCGCGTTACCACGTGCCTGAGCGCACATGCAAACCATGACCGCCAACTCCTGCACCTGCACAATCATTGTCCACAACCGCCATCACTGGACGAGCTCCTTGCCCAGTCAAGTTCTTGGCGGCTCTTTTTGTGTGCGGAACTTGCGGTAGCGGCGCCTCGGTTCATGCAAGCATCATCCAACGAGTGTGCAGGCAGCCAGGTCGAACATGAGAGGCAGGAAAATGATAGCGTGAGGTGCAGGCAGAGCAAAGCAAGGAGGCTGATATCACGCAATCCCCTTTTTCGGCCGTCTTTGCTGTGGAGCTGCCATATCACTCCCTCCTACAGCATGCGGCGTTCTGCAAATCATGAACTGCACCTCTTCGAATCCGCATGTCAGGGAGCCTGCCCCTTGCCAACCTGTGACGTCGACTCTCTTGCACAGTTGTTGAAAGTCTTTGGCCTGCGCGACCGTCTTGTGATATGGCAGGTTGACAAAATTCAGAAAACTTTGGGAGATTCCTGTCGTTGATGAGGTTCTGGACGCCAGCGCCTCCATACACAAAGTTCTCGTGAAGGGTCTTCGGAGGCGCAGACCTTGCCAAGGTCGCAATCATTCCATATGGTGTGGTCAGATTGTAGGCCACATGAAATACCCTGCCCTCTCCACCCTGCCACAAGAAGAAAGCTTCAGGCTAAATTGGGGACTGCCTGAGAAAGGAGCTGCTTGCCGCCCCCAAAGCCCCCCCCCCAAAGCCCCCCATTTCCCATCCACTGCAGGATGCCTTGGATGTTGAAGGCTCACTGGTTCATGGTCCATCCATCTCGACACCTTCATAGATCGGCATGCGGGATGTGCGCACACATTGAATGCTGTGCGCCTGAAATTTGACGAACTTTCAGCGACTGCGAGCTGCTAGCGCTAGACCCTGTAAGCTCTTCCAAACCCGGCCTGTCCTAGAAAAATCAACCGCCATCTGTGCTTGCAGCTCCTGGCTGGCTACCAGCAATTCAAATGAGCCCTGCGCGCCTGTGGCCCAAACGTGCATGCCAACATTCTTCATCTTGCTCTGTATACCATGCTCACCGTCAGACAGCCGGAACGCGGAGCTGCCACCTCTTCGGAGAACGGCAAAGTCTGGTTGGGCAAGACCTGCCCCAACTGAAACCTCCACCAAATAGCAAGGCAGCACCAATCAATCTCCGGAGCTGCGGCTCCATTACCTCTCCTTCATCCACAACCATTTTTGGCATTTTGCAGAGCTTTCTGACTTCGGGTTGCAAGCCCCCTCCATTCGTGAACTGCCGCACATGCACATCCTCACGAAAAAAAGCATCGCAACAAGCTCACCGAAACCAAGCCCATTGGATCACAAAGCAGTCTGTCCATTCTGCCAACCTTTTGAGAAAGATCCGTTTGAGCAGGTGGTGCCAGTGGGAGAACGATAAGGGAGGTATGAGTCCGCTGGATGGAGCTGGTTGTAATCAGAGTGTTGCAGCCTTGGCTCCTCAGTGATTCAACAGAATGCTTGCGTTGTTGTTGGCTTCAGCTTCGCCGCCCTTGCTCCTGCAGGCTGGCATGCTCGGATCTGCGGTGCTTTAGAAACTCATCTTGTTGGCATGGCACAACACCAGTTGGAATTTGGTAGAATGCGCAGGACTTCTGCTGGAAGGAGTTGACAGGAAACGCGCAAAGCCAGAAGCAGAGACGAGCTGCCAAGCGGATCCAAACGGCTTCAAAGCAGTGACAAGGCCAAGCAGAAGGTTGTGAAAGGCTCAGGAGGCCCAGACAAAGGCCAGGTGCACGCCAGGCGCACTTCAGCTTGCATTTGCAGGTTTTTCTCAATATGGCAACACTTCTGAAGGATGGGCCTTGTCAGAGTGCGCGCTCTTTTTGCATTGCCTGAGGATTGAGGCGAGAGGTCCACGCAATTTTTCCGCGCTTCAGCGTCTTTGCACGCTAGCCTGCCTCTTGCCTAGCCTACCTCTTGCGGCTTGAGGGGCCAGTGACTGAACAAACGAGTGTTTCAAGTTTGCCAATGTCAGGGGCGTGCTCGCTCTCCCCTTCATCTGGTTTACGGTTTTGGCGTCTTTTCTTGCCCATTGTGCAAAGTTATGTTTCAGACAACTGCCAAGGTGTGAGTCAGAAGGAGGCTTTGCAAAGCCAGCGAGAAGAGCGCAATAGGGCGATCTGACCTGTGACAGGGTTCTCAGCACTTGTACAGGTGGAGGCAAGCTTTGGATGGTGACAGAGGGCTGCTGGCACTGTTGTTATCTCTTTAGCTGTTTTGTTCAACTTATCCCTCGAGAATTTGAACCAAAGCACTGCAGCAAGGTCAGAACCTTTCAGCGCCAAAGGAAGCTGCAACGGATTCAAACGGCAACATGCAACAGAATCTCCAAACGTTTGGGGCCTGATCACCGTCCCGAGGCGTGTGTGGCAGGTGCTTGAGATGCTTCTGCTCACCTGCGCAGGTCCAAGCATTTTTCAATGGCGACTCTGCACTCACCTTGCCTTTACTTGTTAAAGGGGCCTTTAATAGCTCGGGAAAGACCGAAATCTCCGATCTTGACGGTGCAGTCCTGCCGCTTCATCAAAGATAGTAGAACATGCGACATGCCATAATAATGCGAGCATCAGGCCTGGTTGACAAAGCAGTTTGCTGGTTTCAAGTCACGGTGGTAGATGCCAGCTGAGTGGATGTAGTTAAGGCCTGAGCGCCATCTCTGTCAAGGCCAAGGAGTGCCACTGAAGCGGGCCCAGGCCAACCAGAAGGTTGTACAAAAGCGTATTGACCTGACCCATGCCCACAATGTGTGCAATTCATGACAGCATGGTCCCGTTGATGGGAGCTTCCAGCCAAGCAACGTGAATTGGGCTGAGGGTTACGTCTTGCCTCACCGGCAAGGGGCATCAGAGAACGTCAGCTGAACCAACAGATCTGCGCATGTCGCTCTACTTCTCTGAGCGCACTTTCTTCCACAAGTTTTGAGACAATAAAGCCTGTGGCAACGTCCAAAAGAGCCGCCCTGCTCAGCGGGAACAGGCTGCTGTTTAGGTTTCTCAGGCGGTCATGCTTGAGGAAAGCGTTGAAGATATGTTATGGGGAGCGGAACACAGATCACGATCAAGATTTGGATGATCATGCAGCTTCATGCAATGGGCTGCCGCTCTGCTCTGCTCTGCTCTCACCCAGTCCCGCACACAGCTTGAACTCAATTCTGCCCAAACATCCCAGACAGGCCCCAAACTCAAAGAGTCAAGATCGCTGCTTAAACTGCTTCGCACAGCTTGAAAGGTCGCAAAATCGTTTGTGCTATTGCATCACCTCAGCCAAAACCTTGGCCTTGCTCTCAAACTGTTTCTTGTTCCTTTAGCTGAAAATCTTCCAAGCGCTCAAGCCTTTTCGGCAGACGTCCGCTTCCCTGGGCAAGACGCCCTGGGGACCAATGAGCACGCTCTTGATGTGAATCTTTTAGGCAGCATCGTACCCACTTTGGGTTGGACGAAACCGCTGTGACCCCCGCCTGTGTTTTTCACCCATTACCACGACAGCTTCCCATTAGCCTGATCGAGTGTAGGTTGAGTTCCCCAAAAATTACAAGAATCTCCCGACATGTATGTATCCAATAATGGAACTCCATATTCTTGTATTGGACACATATGTCTTGGAAGATTGTGGTGGTTTTGAAGGAACCTGCCCTTTCTCAGGTAGACCAAGCAGCGGAAGTTGTTGTGATATTGATTGAAAGCACTAGACAGACAGACATGCTGACTTCGTCTAGCCAAATATGCTCATGATACTGCCCACCTGCCCTAGAGGAGACTCTGAGGTACTAAGGGGGGCATCAGGAAGAAAAAGGAACGAAGGATCTCCTTCGTTGATCTTCATTGTTTGTGCAGGGTGTCCACCAAGCAGTTTGCGTCTTCCGACAAAGAAAACCTTCTGCTTAAGGATTCTAGATAGGAATTATGGAAAATTTGTTCCGCTTCGGATATTGTTAGAAGGCGTTTCTGATTCCATCGAGGTCGCGGAAAACTAATAGTTCTCATCAAGGTAGGTTTAGTAGCTAATGTAGACCCGTGAGTAATAAACCCTCTCCTTTTAAGGACCGTAAATAATATGAGGATTCCTTTGATAATCCATACTAGGGGGAGTGGGTTTATCGATCACGGGCCTACATTAAGGGGGCACGAGGAGCTACAGTGCAGCAGAAATTCACTGGATGCGCGAGCCAATCCCACACGCAGATGGCACTCAAGACTAAGACTGCCTGCAGAGCTTCTTGAGGTCTGAATCGCAGAGCTCCATTATCATGTAGATCTCTGTGAACCTGCTCATGTCTCCTGCGGAATGCTGCAAGAGGCAGTGGATCCCGCTGCTGAAGTGCATTGCTTTCTTCAAGCATTCTGCACTGTGCGCACTGCATGCTTAACACAGCAAGTGCAGCTTGTCGCCTGGGATGTAAAAGTCCGACACTTTGACCACATTCCTGCACTGAGAAACAGCTGACGCACAATCTTTGATTTTGAAGGGCTGGGAAGACTGTGAGAGGGGCCTGTGACTCAGCTTGGACAGGATGCTGACCTGCAAGACGACAACACCATCTTGCTCAGGCTTTGCCTTCTCGATTCATTCTCGATACAAGACTCTTCCAAGAGAATTTGTAAACTTTAGCTCGTTGCTTGCTGTCGCTCATTCTGCTGACACCGTGTTCGCAGTGTTTTCGCAGGTTTTTGGGACTGTATACTGTATACCATCGCTGACACCAAACCAGCATCCGTGACATACGCCTACCTGGTGGACATGCTAGGACGCGTGTTGCCAGGGTCTTTGCCTGCGTCGGCTTCATTGAAACACGTCGCGTTTTCTGTTTCTTGGTCAAATGTATCCGTGCCGGCCAGCCACTCTGCATGCACAATCCTCCTCCTATTGGCCTCCGCATACCCGTGGGAGTGGCGGAATGGCATTGCTGCACTCCTCCATCCGCTATCACTGCAAACTCAGCCAGCCTCCCGGAGAATGCGCTTGCAATCCACTAGGTCTTCGAAGATGCGCTTGCACTTCTTGATGGCAACAGGCTGCCTGAGAGTCAAAGGTTGCTGCCCAACATCAGTGGCATCAGATCTGATGACGTCTGACAGCGTTCTGATGATGTTTGAGCATTAATTGTCTCTCGCTTGAAGCTGCATTGTCGTAACTTCCTAGCAAGACTACGTACAGCACCGGGACCATCCCGTCTGCTGGGTCGGCACGTAAGAAGATTGCGACTGTGAGATGCAGCTGATCAGCGTGCGGGAACAAAGTTGGCGGAGAAACCTTTCGCACCCTGTCTGCCAAGCTTTTGCTTGTACTATCTTGTACTTCACGTCCTTCATTGCCTACCCCTCATGCCAACAGTCAAGCCAAGCCTTCACTCACAGCAGGTATGTAGGCAATGTAGACATGGTCACAGCTACCGCCGCCATGGTGCCTCTGACCATTGAAGTCATCTTCGGCTTCGCAGACGCTGCCATAGGAGCCGGACCCGATGAGCTCTGTCACCTTGCAAGGAATTGGTGAGAGTTCTGGAAATCATGTCTCGAAGTCGCGAATTCTGCTGTGTGTGGTCTATATCTCAAAGGAGCAACTGCTCCGGGACACTTGCAATCAGTAGCTGCAATAGATGCATCTTCGAGATGCTCTGAACCTTAAACGTCTAATGCATGGAGAATTGTTTTGTTCTTTTGTTGGGGTTCCTCCTCTTTTTGCTCTTCCTTGTCTTTCCTTTCAGGAGCACACTCAATGCCAGAGCTTGATTTTTACAATAATGATATGGCTACTGATCAAAACCA